AAGGCTGAGGGGGCAGAGGACAAGAAAGACCTCCGCCTTTCCACCTCCTCCTCCTCCTCCTCCTCCTCCTCCTCCTCCTCCTCCTCCTCCTCCTCCCCTCCTCCTCCTCCCTCCTTCCTCCTCCCTCCTCCTCCTCCTCCCCCTCCTCCTCCTCCTCCGATCCTCCTCCTCCGATCCTCCTCCTTCTCCTCCTCCTCCTCCCCTCTTCCACTCTTGACTCGACCACAGCGTTCTAAAACGACACCCTGGAGTGTGGACGTCAGGCAGGAGCCGTCGAGAGACCGAAGATCGTGTGGACAAAGACTGCTGCAAACAGAAGGAACGGTGGACGCACCTCTCTTCGCACCGCTGGCAGTCTCCGCACGTCCCCGAGGGTGGCCCCCGGAGGTCCCCGAAAAGTGCTCGGATCTCCCGGGGAGAGCAGGTCGATCATCGCCCGCGGCCTCGCCTGCTCCTCCTCGTTGTCATCACCATGCTAACCGTCGTCGTCATCATCGTCGTCATCATCCTCAACCCCACAAAAAAATCACTATCCTTGCAATTACCGTCACCATCTTCAGCATCATCAGCAGCATCATCAGCATCTTCATGATCCTCATCATCATCATCATCATCATCATCATCATCATCATCATCATCATCATCATCATCATCATCATCATCATCATCATCATCATCATCATCATATTCCTAATCATCCTTTTCGCCATCCCTCCTCCTCCTCCTCCTTCTCTTCCTCCTCTTGCTCCCCTCCTCCACCTCCCCCACCCCCTCCCTCGTGCACCCCCAACGACGCGCGTCCGAAATGTCCATCACGCAGAGGAAGCACAGATAGAAACGACGACAACTCGCACCAGAGGACCAAAAAGCAATGCACCCGCTCGAAGGATCGAGCGACAAACAGGCACGAAACGCAACTTCCGCTTCTGGCGCAGGCCCCCAACCTTCCAGGGGGGCGGAAAGGAGGGCGACACGCGAATGGCACAAGAACGCGTGAGGCACTGGACGCTGGGGCGGTCGCTCGCGGGCACGCGATCGGAAGGCCCATCAAAGACGGTCTCGCTGAGCCGCTCCAGGAGAAGCGCGGCCACCCCAGGCCGGCCTTCCTGGGCAGCAGTCGCACAGCATTGAAGGGGCCCCAGGACACACAAATAAAGACACACAGACAAAAATACTCCCCCCAGTTTCCCATCTCTCCTGGGTTCCTGCCTCCTCCCCCACTTCCCATGTTTTCCCAAATTTTCCTGGGGAATCGAGGATTCATTGTGTCTCTGTGTTTTTCTTTTCCCCTCCTGAAGCATGCGCTCCGTTGCCACAAGGGCCCCGACGCCGGCCGGCCCCTTAAGGGGGGCGGGCGGCAGCTCGACGCCGAGGGCTCGCGCGGCGCGGGGCCTGCGGCTTCAGTCGAGGCCTCCTGGATGGGATTGGAGCAGATGGGGTTCGAGTAGATGGGGTTCGAGCAGATGGGGTTCGAGTAGATGGGGTTCGAGTAGATGGGGTTCGAGTAGATGGGGTTCGAGTAGATGGGCTTCGAGTAGATGGGGTTCGAGTAGATAGGGTTCGAGTAGATGGGGTTCGAGTAGATGGGCTTCAGTCGAGGCCTCCTAGATGGGGTCCGAGCAAATGTGGTCGGAGAATCGCGCCGCATCGCCGATGCATCGCCGATGCATCGCCAATGCACCGGCAACGTCGGCGATGCAACGGCGACGCCAGCGTGGAGAAAGTCGGGCTCCACATCGAGCCGCATCGCCGATGTATCGGCGATGCGGCGCGATCCTCCGACCCCACCTACTCGGACCCCATCTGGGAGGCCTAGATAAGATGGGATTCGAGCAGATCCAGGGAGACGTAAGACCCGGGCACGGGGGACTCGGAAATCCCCGACGAGGTCGTCAAAAAATGACGAGGCCGAGCCTGCATTTTGACGAGGCCTCCCGCTGCAGGCATCCCACGAAACTCCTCCTCGTCGAAATCCGAGGCGCGGTCGTCAAAAAACGATGGCGAACCCGAGTCCTGGCAAACCCGGGTCTTGCGTTCCCCCGATAGATGGGGTCGGAGGATCGCACCGCATCGCCGATGCGTCGGCGATGCATCGGCGATGCATCGGCGCCGTCGGCGTGAAGCAAGTCGGGCTCCGCGCCGAGCCGCATCTCCAGTGCATCGGCGATGCGGCACGATCCTCCGGCCCCATCTGCTCAGACCCCATCCAGGAGGCTTAGATTCAGGACAGGCCGCCTGGGCATGAATGGCTTCCGCGCCCGATCTACAAACCCAGCGGCCGACGCAGAATCTGAGGATGCGTTCGCAGCCATTCGACGCCGGACTGGCCTCGAGGCCGGCACGGCGCGCGGCCACGCCTGGGGCCAAGGCGCGCTTCTCCCCGGGATGCTGGATCTCCGCAGCCCCGGCGCTCCGATGGAGCCACGACCCTGGCTGCGAGGCGGGCATTCATCCTCCACATCCACCGCCTGGGAGCCGACGTCCTGGCGCCCCAGCGGGC